CTTCCTTAAGTTTTCGGACCTCTTTTTCCATTTGGTAGGCATTCTCTTCATATTTTCCTTGATTTTCTTAGATTGCTTTTATTTCCCCCCCTAATTTTTCCTCAATCTTTCTTATTTGATTTTTAAAGCCTCTTTTAAGTTCTTCTAAGAACTCTTTTTTGGGCTTGTGACCATTTGACATTTTTCTTTGAAGCAGGAGTGGCTTTTAAAAACTTCATTGTCTTCTGAGTATGAACCCAGATCTTCTCTAGCCTCATAGTGGTTATCTATGTTTGGCTTCTTTCTTCTTTGCTTACTCATTCTTTTTATTTATTTTCTTATTATTTTTAGAAAGAAGATTATTTTTATAGTAAGGTTCTAGTCCCAAAGTGTAGGGAGGCATCCCTCAAGATTCAGGTTTTTCATACTGTTGTTTTCTAGGTGATGTCTGGGGGCCCAATCTTGGGTACTCCTGTCTACCATGGCTAGGGCCACCAGGCATGCTGTTACTGCGAATGCTCGTATTCCCTGCAGTCCCTCCTATGGCTGCAAACTTCAGCTTACCCCTCTGTTGTGGAACCAAAATCAGGCACTTTGCTCTCCTGAAAGTGCCCACGGCCAACAGGGTGCCCACCACTCTCCTATCACACTTACCAGGCATAATTTTGCTCCTCTTCACCCACAGCTGCAGCCCAGGACTGCATAAGTTGGCCTGGCATCCTGAGACAGGGAAGGGTCCTTCAATCTTCCCCTACTCAGCTGTCTGACCCCCACCTGGTCCATGAGGTGGAAGTTCCTGAAGCTGAGGCTGCCAAATAACCAAGCTGCCCCAAATCTGACTGGAAGTGTTTGTACTTCACTCGGGCCAAACCTCCATCCCTAGAGGTGCAGCCTTTCCCAAAGTCCTCTCAGGTTCTTAGGAGAATAACTGCTTTACTACAACTTTTAATTATTACTGCTGCTCAAAGTTCACTTTGAGGCCAAATTTTATCTTGTTTGTAGGAGAAATTTGGAGAGCCTGGTATGCCCTTTCTTATTCTGCCATCTTCCAGAATCCTTTCACAATATGTTTTTTAATAAAGGGGTTGTTTCTCTGAACCCTCTGATTCTGAGTGATCTATTGCTCTGGATGTGGAATCACTACCAAGACAAGACCCATATGTACAAAGATACTTAGAGCAGCTCATTTTGCTGTAGAAAAGAACTGGAAATGAAAGGGGTGCCCCTCCATTGAGGAAGGATTGAAGAAATTATGATTCATAAATGTAAAGGGATAGTATCATGCCATTAGAAATAATAGAAAAGGATTGATTCAGAGAAACACGAATCCAAATGGATGTTGAAATCTGGATAACAGAAATACTTTATCTGCTTAGTCTCTCTAAGCCAAATTCTTTGCAATGATTACACAGCTCTACTAGGAGGCTCTACAGTATGTCATCTGAAAGCAAGAGTATCTGAAGGACCACACCCTCTACCTGGAGTATCTTCCTCCATCACCAGGGGGAATAAGTTTGGCCAGAACATAGCTCCCTGTTTCATGCATCTTCTGATATTTATTACAAGGGGGTCATTGAATAGGGTTATTTCTGTAGTTACATTTTGTTGCAGTATGGATAGTGTACAGAGAGCAGGAAAGCCTGGGTTCAAGTCCAACCTCTAAGAAATATTGGCTCTCTCATCCTGAGCAAATCATATAATTTCTCAGGCACCTAAGAAATTTATTAAGAATACAAGCTGCAGAGAATGAGCTGATCTGCAAAGTTCCCTATGACAATGAAATTAAAGTCCCATCCTTGGCCCTGTAACAACTTCCAAACAGTCTTGAATCATCTTGATGTATGGCTAAGAGTTTACACTTTCCTGTAACCTATAAATTCGATCAGTAAGTAATCACTATTTTTTCTAGTATTTTAAGATTTACATTCCTCTGATCCTCAAAACTCTGTGAGATAGGTCCTACAGGTATTATTATTTCCATTTTACAGGTAAACAAACTGAGGCCCAGAATGCTTTTGGCTATAAAGATAAATAAAACTTTGTGTATTGTAGATAGATTAAATAGATCCTTTCAAATCTGGGGCAATTAAACTATGCATTTATTCAAAGTGGTAACTGACTACTTACAGAGTCTTCTTTGTGGATTAACAAGTTTTAAATCATAGATTTACCCTCTTCAATTTGGCACTTAAAGCCCTTTTACAATTTGGCTTCATTTTACCTTTCCAGCCTTATCGAACACCTCTTTAAGAACTCTACTTTCTGCCAATACTGGCCTGCTCGTGGTTCTCTGAAGTTGGTACTTCATGCCTTTCCACCACGCTTTCTTTCATACCTGGAATGCTTTCTACCCTTACTTCCGCCTCTGAGAATCCCCAGATTCTTTTGAGGACTGCTCTCTCTCCTGAAAGTATTACACAGAGACAAAGAGATAAATGTATGTATGCATATCTATATATGTACCTATGCCTATCTATATAGATGTGTTTACATATGTGTATATACATACCTACACACACACACATATATATCTTTACATGTCATATTCTCCTCTGTAGAATGTAGACTCCCTGAGGGCAGTAACTGTTTTTCCCCCTTTTCATATGCTTAAGGCCTGATGCATAGCACGTGCTTAATGTTTGTTGGATTGGATGGCTGGACTGCCACTCATGATACTATTCTCTTATTTGGGATGTTCTCTAGCAATTTTCAAAGTTTGGTCCACAGACTCCTAGGGATTCCTTAGATCCTTTCAGAGAGTCCATGAGGTCAAAACTTTTCATAATAATACTAAAACATTTTAATTTCTAATATGGTATGTATGAATAGATATAATCCACATAAACAAAAGCTAATAGGAGGGAGTCCTCAATAATTTTTAAGAGTGTAAAAGAGTCCTGAGACTAGAAAGTTTGAGAAACATTGTGCTATAGGAAAGCAAACAAAGAAAAGATCTATAGGCAAGCCCACAAAGTGACATCCTCCCCAAAACTGCTTCACTGAGAGGTAAGGTGTCCAGAATACAGGACGTGATTGTGAGACTATACTCTGCCTTGGTCACACCACTGCTGGTGTATGTGTTAGGTTCTAGGTGCTACATTTTAGAAAATACAGACAACAATAATCAAAATGATGAGGAGCCCTGAGACTGTGATATGCAGACTGGTTACTAGAACCTGGGATGATTATACAGAAGAGAAGTCTCAGAAGCCAAAATAAACTGGTTCTCATGTGGAAGAGAGATTAGACTTATTCTGTTCAACTAAGGGATTTCTGAGTTCCTTACTAATTCTGAGATGTGAAACTTGCCCAGGGACATACATTGCCAGAACTAAGATCTGAACCCAAGTTTTTACTGACTCTGTGTCCAGCTCTTTGCACTATTTATTTTTGCCTATTCACTTGACGAAGGAATAGTTTTGTTTTAAAGAACTCTTTTGTCATGGACATTTAGAGTAGGATTTTACTGAATAGCCTAGACAAATCCAGATATGGATAATTTTCCACTTCATTTTGGCCCTGGCTACCTTTTTTGCTTAGCTGGAAGAGAACATTTCCTAGGTTTTCTTTAAGTTACAAATATCAACCACATCTTTTATAAACAAAATGCTTGAAAAATGCATTGCAACTTACTTTTCACTTAATTTTTGTCCACAGACATGCACATTTTCATGTTTCATGTGTTATGGGAATATATAATGCCCATATATTATATATATGCAAATATATGTATGTGTGTGTGTATATATATATATATATATATATATATATATATATATATATATAAAAATTCATTCTATTTCCTTGTAAAACTGATAGGATGACACTGTCATTGCAACAATGTACCAGCAGATGGCTGTCAGCAGGACCACATTAACTCTTGAAAACTTTAACCACGTAAACTTTGGTACCCTTTTTATTATGCGTTTCTGGAAATTTAGAAGTGTGCTCTCTTTCTTTCTTTCCCTCTTCCTTCCTTCCTTCTTTCTTTCTTTTCTTTCTATTTCTCTCTATCCTGAGCCTTAAACAATCCAGTGATGCAGGTACCACAGGTAGTTTGATCCTATTTTACAGATGAGAACATTGGCACAGAGAGACTGTGACCTTATGTCAAAGGCAGGAGCCCAGCACCTCATCTTCACTACTCCCAATTGCTGCCCTACACTTACCCCCTCCACAACACTGGGTACTGGCCCTCTTCTCTCTATTCCTATTACCACCCTCTTAATATAGGCTCTTATTGATCACCCACCTTCCTCCCACATCGAACTTGCCCCCTTATGGTTCTTCCTACCTCTAACCTACACCATTCCCATAAAACAAAACAAGACAAAGCAAAAAACACCCTTTGCACACCCCTTCTGACACACATATTTGTCCAAAGTCTTTCAGTGGTTCTTTATTGCCACCCAGCCAAGTTCAAACACCTTTGTCTTGACATTCAAGGTCCTCTCCAAACTAGACGTCTCGCATTATTCCCCCCCCCCTTCCTCAAACTACGCTCTGAAGGAATTCTGGGCGTCTTATTGACAACAAGCAAAAGCTGATGCTTTTCCGAATGGGGGGGGTTAGAAGGGGAGGGGCGGATGCAGCATATGTGGTTTCGCTACAAAAAGTTGCCTTGCTTAGCAGAGCTTCGCTTTCCCTTTGCAACTTCCTAATAACGTCTATTGCAACCCCTGGCTTCCTAGAAGTGCACAAGTGGGAGGGAATCGAATAGAGCCGATATGTCGCGATGGCCACGACACCTCCTGCGCCCTCAGCCCACAGCCCGGAAGGCGAAGCGCCCACTCCGCCACAGCGACAGGGGTCACTGCAGTACGGAGGACGCTCTTCTTCTCATTCACCTCCCTCCTTCCATCCCCAAGCCCAGCAGCTCTCGGTGGGTCCCGGCGCCGATAATTTCCTCTTCCGGGTCATGCGCACAAAGCGCGCGCAGTGCCGGGATGCGGCCGTGGCTATAAAAGCACCGCCCCGGCCCCGCCCTTTCCTTTTTGGTGAGGGTGTCGCCGCTGCAGCCGCGAGGAGCCGGCAGTTGCTGCCTCTCCTCCTCCTGACTCACCGCTGTTCGCTCTCACCGAGGAATAAGTCGGTCAGGAAGCCGCTCCACTGCCATGGTGAGGAGGGCAGGAGGGGCTGGGGAGCTGGCGGTGTCCGGCGCGAGGCCGCGCTGCGGGCCGAGGCCTGAGGGAAGAGCAGTGTGGGTCTGGGCGTGTTCGGCCCACGGGGCGGCCCGCGCGCGCTCCCGGCAACGTGTCCCTTCCCGTCCTCGTTAAATCGGGAGTCTTTGTAGTTGGCGTCCTTTGGGGATGGATTTTCGCCTCATCCCCTCTCTCCGCGCCTCCCTAATGGCCTCCTTCCTTCGCAGGCATTCAAAGACACCGGCAAGACCCTCGTGGAGCCCGAAGTGGCCATTCACCGGATCCGGATCACCCTCACCAGCCGCAACGTGAAATCCCTCGAGAAAGGTAAGCGTGGGTGGGGGGGACGGGGCACCGAGATCCCCGGTGTGACCTGCGATGTCAGCGCCCCGAAAGCTGCCCCGAAACGAGCAAAGGCCTTGAGCATCTGCGGGCCCTGGAGAAATCCCGGGAGGGCGGGGGAGGGGCGGACCGGTGCCCCACCTTACGGGGTTCAGCTTGGTGACCCAGGGCGGACTCGAGCTTTCGAGAAAGTTGGCAATGATGATGATCTTTCAGTAGTTGAATTTTCGGTGATTGTTTTATACGCTATTCTGAGCCAACTCTGAGAAGGGCTGTCTTGGATACTTTTTTTCCTCTAGATCCCTATGAATGAACTGAATGAATGCTTCTTTTTTCTCTTTCAGTGTGTGCTGACCTAATTAGAGGAGCCAAAGAAAAGAACTTGAAAGTGAAGGGACCTGTTCGAATGCCCACTAAGGTATGAAAAGCCAGGGTGAGAGCCCTTGGTTTGGTTCAGTGTTTGAATCAGAGTCGTAAGATCAAAGTAGGAGCTGGGTGAAGGGTTTTAAGGCTGTCAGTGCAGTCTGTAACATCCTTGGTTTGTGAGAGTCAGTGTAACTTAATGGAGAAATGTAGCAAGAATGCTCTTCAAAGCCTTTTTTAAATTCTTGAAAAAATAAGAATGGTTGATTGCTGAAAAGAATACTTAATGTGTATTTAAAATGTTGGTAGGTGACCAAAACTTTATTGCATTTGTAAGATCTTAAATATAACTTATAAGTTTGGTTTGCCATTTCTCCCATTTTAGACACTTCGAATCACAACTAGAAAAACTCCTTTGCGGTGAAGGTTCAAAGACTTGGGATCGGTTCCAGATGAGAATCCACAAACGCCTTATTGATTTGCACAGTCCTTCTGAAATTGTTAAACAGATCACTTCTATCAGCATTGAACCAGGTGTAGAAGTTGAAGTCACCATTGCAGATGCTTAACCAGTCATCTCTTTTAATAAATTGATTGCAACTATTAAATTTTGTTTGATGTCTTTGGAATCAAATCACTGTTGGCATAAGTAATTCCTTGTAGAATTTCAGATTTGGAGTAGGTAAAATTGAGTAATACTGTCAAGGAGAGATTAGAATTTAAATACCAGCCAATAGAAATTCTCTTAACTAAAATGTCAGAATTGGAGAGGTGGGGGGGGGGATGAGATGGTGGTTTGGATGCTGGGAAAAGTCCTGACTTGTAACTTCAATATAACTCAGGTCTGCAATTTAACTTACTTTTAGAAGGTTGTTGTGACTCATCCAAGGTCACAAAAGTGGTGTGTCAGAGACAGGGCCTTGTGTTCATTTGGACCATGTTTGGTTTTGTTTTTAACTTTGGTTTCCCATAGACAAGCTTTCAAAACTAAACAAAAATTTAACCAGGATTGTGTCTTGACTTAGATATTTATAGGAGGGTGCTTAAAATTTGTCATAGAGTAGTAGAATGGTTTTTTTTAAGTGGTTCTGGGCAGAACTGGAGGTGGTCAGTTTTATTCATGGAACGTGGTAGGAACCACTACTTACTATCGGTCACTTGTTCCTGATTGTCCTAAATGAGCCTTGTGAATTTTATGAGAATGAAACTTAAAGCATCTGCTACCACTAGTTGTACTCTACTGTGATCAGACAATACAAAACTTGACAATTACACTAAGCCTTCTTGAGTTATGAAGTATAACAGCTGCCTTATAGGAAGAGAATTCTATGCACAAAAATCACGAACCATCATAAGTATTATGCATATGTGAATTGTTTCTTTTTGAAAGAGGAGGGATTTGTAGTTGAGCTTCTAGCAGTTGACTTGTAAGTTTTTCCTCTTGTTGGTTAAACTGATATTTCAAGCATTGAACAAAAGATCATTCCAGGGAATGATTGTTAAAGTGGAATGTTGTAAGAATTGAGTATAGCAATTATGAGCAATTTGCTTTTACAAAAAGGAAATGCTTGATTCAGTGCTAACCAAAAGTGTGGATCTACAACTTTTCCTTCTTACTAAATGGCTTATTCTAGTGTTCTGAAATCTCTCAAAATGAAATGTTTTTAACTAATGTTCTCTACTCAAAACTTGAAACTTTGCTTAATTTAAGGACATCTTAATGCTTTGTGGGTAAACATGATGTTTCCCTGTTTGGATGCCATCAGAAGCTGTCGCAGTTTTCATGACTTCTTTGTAAACTGATGAGCTTTTATAGAGGGAATATAAGCCAAAGGATAATTGACATTTTTATGTTAGAAAATAGAAAACATATGACCAGTGAGAGGCTGAAAAAGCCAGTTTGGGTACTTTTTAATGACGTTCAAGAGTCCAACAACTCAACAAACCCATCACAGTTCTGTTGTCCAGGAAGGAAAGGTAGATTTTTTGCTCCATCTTTTATCTTGGTTCATTACTTTAAGGTGAGTTGTCTTTTTAGTCATTTTCATTTGTGGTGTTATATAGTTGGTACTCTTGGCGTCCAATTTCTTTTATCGCTTGTATGTTTCTTTGTCATCTGCAAGTAGCACCTGCTGGAGCAGTTGCCAAGCTGTATGTACACAGAAGTTGCTTCTCAGGATGTTGGCTTAGGGTGAGGGCAGTTACCTGGAAGTATTCCTATTTCCAAGACTCCTGCATTCAGAGTCCTGGGTTGTCTGCATCGGAGTCTGAGGGGAAAAGGAGGTGGTGGTGGTTTGATATTCCTGGTCCAGATTGTTTTCTTGTTTCTGCTGCAGGCTGCTCTGAGGCTTCAGCTAGGCTGGTTTATCTGTGTTGGTAACAGAAGATTGTTGCTTCCCCAAATGATGGCTGTGAAACAGTTGTAATTTGGTAACAATTCCTTCAGATTTCTCAAAAATTTTTAAAAGAAACTCATTGAGGGCAGAGATAACGTCCTCATAGAGCTTATAAACTAGCAAAAAAAAAGTATCAAATTTAAGTGAAAATTTGCTAGTTCTGTTTTTTAAAACTGATTTTTCTCTAGTTCACTTTAGATTGATTCAAGTTGTAATTTTTTTTTTATTATTTTTAGTTATCAACATTCATTTCCACCAGATTTTCTCCCCATCTCGCCTGTCACCCCAAGATGGAGTGCATTTTTAATACCCCTTCTAATCTGCCCTCCTGTAACCCCTCTCCCTCTTCTCTTATCCCCTTTCCCTTCTGTTTTCCTGTAGGGCAGGGTAGATTTCTATACCACATTGTATATCTTATTTCCCAGTTACATGTGAAAACAATTTTTGACATTGGTATTTAAAACTTTGGGTTCCAAATTCTCTCCCTCACCCACCCTCATTGAGATGGCAAGCAACTGGATACAGGTTATCAAGTTTTAATTTGGACATTGTTTTCCTCAAGTGGTTATGAATTTTTAGTTAATAATGCTAAAAGTAATCAAAATATTGGGTGTAGAGCCAAAACATGTTTTCAAAATTAATATACTTGTGATCATAAAGTCACTCAGTTACCCCTTATTGAAATTGGCTTCAGTGAGAGCCAGTTACATCACACCTGTGGTCTCAACATGAAAATCGCCATATAGGGTCAGACATGTTCCATCCAGATCAACTATCTCATGTGGAGACTTAAAAACATTTTTCCCTGCTCATAGTTTGCTTTACTTCACTTTTATATGTATTTTTTTTTAACAAGGCAATAATCCATGGAATACCACAATTTATCCAGCCATTTTCCAGGGGTTGGGTATATAGTTTTATAATTTCTCGTGAAAAGTAAAGGCAATGAATATGTAATTCTTTTCCATCTCTGTGCAAAGACTACTAGGTGCTAGAGATGCAAAGAGATTACATAGTCCTTATGTGCTCAAGAAGTTTATAGACTACTAAAAACAGTTAAGATGTAATCCTGGTAGGAGGGATGGTGGGGTCAAAGGTCAGTTTTTACACATTGATCTTAAAAAGTTCAGCATTGAGTTTTTATCTTTACGAGAAGTTTAATTTTGTAAGAAATGCATTTCAATTCTGAGAGATCTTGAGCAATTTAAGTGGTTATTAATGTGTAGCATGCTGTATTTGGAGTCAGACATAGGTTCAAATCCTCTTATTTAACTGTAATATTGGTGTCCTTTGACAAGTCCCCTAACTTTACTGAACATCGGTTCCCTCATCTGTCAAATGAAGGGTTTGGACTACAGCCTCTGAAATTCCTTCTCTAAAACTGTGATTCTTTCCAACTGGTCTACTGATGTTTTTTGACCATTTCCCCAGTGAAGAATGGGTTTGGTTTTGGGGGACAGACTTGGGATTTCATTAGTATTCAGGGAAGGTGAGATCTCCCTCCACTCACAAAAGCAATCTGTATATGATGTAGTGGTCCTAGGGAGGTGCTGGAGATAAAAAAGAAATTAATGACCTTACCTTGATCTCACAGATCATACAGGATTTCACTGCAGGTCTTACTGACTTGAAGCCCAGCACTCTACTTTGCAATAGAAATAAGTGGTGTTGAAATGAGGGAATTTTATGTCAGGATTTTGAGGTCATTCAAAACTGCATAATTCCTAAAAGCAATCCAAACCACTTTCTTCAGTTCTGGTCTGTACTTATGTCCACTTAGAGTGCCTATCCCTGCAATATGTGTTGATGATTAGCTTAATGGGCTTTTATAGTCTGAACGTAGATATGCTTGGTTTATTTGATCTTTTTTTGGTCCGTGGATATCAAGGAGATCCTATAGTATGCTAGGTTTGATTCAATCACCACATTCTAATTTTCACTAAGTCCGTCATATACTCATTACCTCTTTCATTTGAATGTCCTCTGACAGAACGTCCTTACTTATGGTTTTCAAGATTTTTTTTTTTAAATCTGGGAATCTTATGGACAGGGCTAGAACATTTGTATAACCTGGGCAAAGTAAACTTTAATCTCCCTCCACCCCCACCGTGTTATGTTACCATCCAGACCAGAGGTTTTAAGTCTTCACTGTAACATACCATTGGTTTTGCACAAAATAGATCCCTATGAATATTCCAGTATTCCATCTCCCCCATGGTAGCATAGCGGGTGGGGGGCGAGAAGAATACTGATTTGTCTTCGTATGTCGGCAATGTCAGGCCCATTACAGGAGATCAGTAAATGCTTGTATAAATGATTCGCCATACACCCCCAACAGTTGGGGTTGTGAGTCGCCTCTGTGAAGAGCAGTGATTGATGCCTTGGGTAGTAAAAGACAGATGACTGCGCTGCGCCTCTCCTGGAAGCAAAGAAGTTGAGCTGACCAGCTGCCCGCAGCACAGTTCAGGACGCAGTGATCTCCCTGGGGACTAGGGTGCTGCCTCTGGCTCCCCTCAGCAGGAGCAAACGAAAGAACTTTTACACCCACCTCAATCTTCCTCCCTCTACCTCCACCCGCGACTCACCCCAGGGCTCCCCTTGACTCTAGGTAAGAGTTTGTCCCTACCCACTTAGCCTAACATCCGCTACTGGGGTGGAGGAAGGGTGTATTAAGTATCGGATGCCGTTGGCCAGCCTGCTCCAACGACCAAAATGCAAACAGACTAACAGCTAAACTGGCCAGCAGGCGAAGCTAGGGTTTTAACACGGAGAGAGAGCCCCAGGACTACCCTGCAGCGCCACCTGGCCGAGCGATGCCCTAGTTGCAGGGTTGGGCTACCTACAGGTGCAGGCTTGTTAAGCCCAGTCTCTCCTTCAGTTTCCTCGATTTGTGGAAAAGTATGGGGGGCCCCCCGCCCTGTTGTCTGGGGAGTCAGCCAGCCAGAGCCAGTGTCCAAGCCCGAGCTTAGCTCTTTCAGACCCTGATCTGAGGGTGCCTGTACTTTCAGGAAGAGGTGGGAGATAAAGGCTGTGCTTTTTTTTTTCTTTTGGTGGGAGGGGGCTTCCCCCTCATAACTATGTGAACATTTTTTCACTGGCCCTTGTGGAATTAGGGAAACTAAGAGGGAGGGAATAAAGGATGAAGGAAAGAAAGGGGGAGGGACTGGGCTTGGACCCACACTGGTATAGTTATTATCAATTATATCTCGGCT